TCCGGCAAATTCGGAGACGTTCTGTGAAAAAATCAACGCTTCAAGTGCTTCCGGTAAGGAGCTAGCGGGTCTGAAAGAAGAAGAAGAAGAAGAAGAAGAAGATGAAGAATATGATGATGATGACACGAAAATCGTGAAATCGCGTATGAACGAATTCTCGCGTGGACGACTGAAGGTGCGTATGATGTCTTGGGGGACATATATAGGTAGATATGGGCCCGTAGACTATTGCTAGTATGTTTTGAAGGCCTAGGGAGTGATTCTCACCGAGTTTTAGTCGTTTTATACGCGGATCACGTGAGATTTCACCCGTGTCGTCCCTATATAGAGAGTCTACCGACTCTCTGATAAGCACATGTGGTTACATTAATTCTTCCTTATAACATTGAAGTGGTTTCCTGTGTGCAATAGATACATAGACCTCTGGTGAATGTCATTCGTCAAATGTCTGTCAACATCACGAGGAGTACCGCTGCCACTGCTCATATTCTGGCTATATGAGAAGACAGGGGTCTGGAGCAGGTGTACCAAAGACAGCATCTCAATGTCAGTTCCCCAGGTCCCATCTTGTCCATACCTGTGGAAGCTATATACTTTGAACACTGTCATAGCCTACGAGATGGTGTTGCCTAGGAATATTGGGATATTTGTCATATGGTGAAGGATAGCATGTCGTACACCCATCATGCTGATCCTCAAACCCAGTGAGAATTCCCGAAAGAGGCAGTTACCATCTCCCTGTACGCGTTTCACACTACGCATGTCTGGATGTGTGAGGGGGACAGTGGGCCCTCCTGGTCTTACTGGTGTCTGTGTACAATATTGGAGGCCCAGCTCTTGGCATGCACTTCCCTGCCACTGTACATCGATACTGAAAGGAGTAGCAGCAGGTGTTTCTGTACCTGTAATAACACAGTCCTCATTTTCTGTGAGACTGACCTTGACCTTTTTTTGCACTTGGGGACACAGTTTTGTCTACACCAGTGAGCTTCCTCTTTCTTCTAGAGACATGTGGTATATCATAGAGAGGAAGGTCAGGTGTATGGGTTTTTCTGAGGAGGTTTACTTCCCCCAGGGAACTAACACTAACACTGATGGACTGGGGATCAAAGGCTGTCATGAACAGACCATCTAGTGACCTAACCCTGGATAGAGCCACATATGCCATTCCATCGCTGAATACCTCCTCAGACAGGTCTACTATGGCACAGTCAAATGACAGACCCTGGCACTTGTGGATGGTAACAGCATAGGCTAAAATGAGAGGGAACTGTTTTCGATACACATAGAAATTCTTCATCACCATGAACCCTTATTAATCTTGCATGGAGCAGGCACATTATCAAACTGCACAGTCACATGTTGGGCTGCTATTGACAGCACTGTATCAATAGCACCATTGACCAGCCCAGCCTTGGTGTCAATGTTGCGACGTAGCATGACTCGTGCACCGACTGCAAGAGACAGTTTGGCTTCCAACTGTCATGTTGCAGCCAGCGTTCAGTTTATCCAAACGCTCAATGACCTTCTAATTGGTCATCTTCCTATTGCCTGCTGTTTGGTAGAATCTCATCAGTACAATTAAAAAATGTCATACACTTCGGAAGCACTCTTGCGGAGCATTTGTGCATTTAGGTCATCACAAGCTTTTCTTTTGGAGAATAAGCAACCAGGTGCCTTGCCAGACTGTCGTAGCTCAGAAAACTTGTCTGAGACAGACACCTGTATGACCCTCTGTTTCAACAGACTCACAGTTTCCTTGGTTGGACAACCACGTCTCAAACAGTCCAACATGGAGGAAAACTGTGGATCATTTTTCTGCCGTTCATTGAGGGTCAACTCATCATAGGTAACACAATCTCTCCAAATATTTATGGCAGCTGCACACCCTAGTTGGGACAGGATTGATTTAGTGGCAACCTTCTCAAAAACAGGATTCCCATGGACAGGTGGGAGTTGGAGGAAGTGACCTACACAAACAGCATGTTCCGAGACCCAAACCACTCACTGCTACCAAACAACTCCTCTAGTCTCATGTGTACAAAAGCCAGGTTGATACTGGACACCATGGAAATCTCATCTATAATAAACAATTTCACTTCAGAGAGAGTTGCTCTCATGACCTTCTGGGATGTTTTGGGCAGTGGCCAATAGCTAGTGGCTTTGGTAGCATGCTCAACAGAGAGTTGGAAGAGTCTGTGGATAGTGATACCTCCGACATTGAATGCAGCAAGCCCAGTCGGTGCTGCAATTCCACAGAGGAGGCCTTCACTATTCCACAGACTGTTCACTAGGGCCTTGATGGCCTCAATGAGAAAGGATTTACCAGTACCACCCACACCACTAACAAACAATCTAAGAGGGTGCATAATCACACAAACACTGTTTTTCCTCGTGACACTTTTGGTGCAGGAAGTGAGCCTTGACATTCTCGAAGACTCTCTTCTGATCCTGATTCAGCATGGACACTTTCTCATCTGGGGTCAGCGGACCAGGGGTACTGGCTTTCATGTCTAGAACTTCTGTCATGGCTGTTCTAGCTTCATCTAGCAGCTGAGGCTCATTGTCTTCTTCAGCTTCCATGTTGGCCTGCCACGCTTCATTAATGCTCTTTACATTTGATGCTGCTGCCAACATTGTCTTCAGCTTTGAGTGATAGCTTGAGCTCTGGGTAGTAGTAGTCTATGAAATGCATGCTCTGCTGTCTCGTTACCCTGCAGTAAACTACTCTCATCTCTAAATGGAGAGAACAGTAACACTAGAGAGTAGAAGTAATCTTATTTCTGGTTCTCATTTTCAGGGTCAAAGATTTTGTGGTTAGGGAGTTTAGGCTTGCTAAGTTTCTTGTACACTCTCTGACCATTGGTGTCTACACCCTGAAACTCATAGTTGGCCACAAAGTCATACAAACAAACGCTCTCAAGGAGGGCTGGTCTCTGAGGATAGAATGTATCTAGGACATTATCCTCAAATGTGTTCTGATTATCTGTGTTCAGCGTAGCCATTTCTTGTAACACATTGTGAGGCATGTAGACATCTACCCACTTGACTGTGTCAGATTTCTCAGTGAGGTGGTCTCCCAGCAGCAGATCACTGGCCTCATACAGACCACACTCTCTGAACCGTAAACTTCTAATACCAAAGCTCAAAAGGCGACTGTAAATGCTCTTGTTCTCACTAACTTCTCTCCCAGATGTCTGCATGTTGCTCGCTCAGCCTTGGTAACATAGCCACTGACATAATGAGCAAGAGCTAGAGAGGCTTCGGCTACCAACTGAATGTCTATATTAGCCTTCCACAGCATCAATAACAGTGGGTTGTAGTCATTCACTTCCGCCAGAGTACGGACCAACTGGTAAATTCGGTTACAGGATTTCAGGCTCTCCTGGACGGGGTTGAGCTGAGCAGTCTCACACACTGGCCTGGGAAAACCCGAACCTACACCTGGTGATGAATGCTGTTTTCCCACACTTCTTCCGCCTCTCTACAGTACTTGCTGCACTCGTGCATCTGGTACCTGGTGTCTAGTCTGTGCAGTTCATGGCTACCCTGTTCATCAGGGATGTGGCAGGTGATTCTATCATAGATCCAGTCTAGCACCTTCTCGGGATCGTCTCTATCAATGAGTGGTGCATCTCTAATCCAGAGTAGGACATGGTAATGAGGAGCCCCACGATTCTGATACTCCTTCTTCCAATAAAAGTGGTCTACAATACCCAGGACCTGACCTTTCAAAATGACCTTGAGGAAAAAGGCATGGAATTTGAGGGAAATTGAGATTGGGTCCTCAACACACAGCTTCCCAATGTTGTAACTGGGAGGAACATTGTTCACTTTCCCTCGGTGATATCAGGGGACTCATACTCAGCACATCTAAAGGTAAGGAAAAGGGTAGGTGAGCCCCACTCTCGTATCATGCAATTGAGCTCACTGTGTCTGAGGAACCAGAACTGTTTAGTACCACAGACTGACTGGAGCATGGTGCACAAACGTGCTTCTAGCTGCCCGTCTGAGGTGTTCACCTGCTCTAGTAACATGCTAACAGACATGGCCTGTCTCCTAGTACTCTTTAACAAATTGTAAACACCTGATGCGAGTTGTCGCATTTGCATCGGAAACGCGAATCCTTGTTAAGCAGCCTAAATTTGATGTACTCACTAGGAGAAATCTTCTCCTTTCAAGGGTGGAACTCTCCAAACTTCCCAGCAGGGAAAAGCACAGAGAAACACATCACATCTAAATGCTGTTGTGATGTGCTTAGAGCTCTCATCAATGCATTTCTCATTCTATTGCTGATGTAGATGTAGAGGCTCTGCCTCTTTCCACTAGAATCAGGTATATCACATCTCCACAGTCCTGATGTGTGGTCACTACAACCTCTCTTGCGGTGTAGACTGATCACTCCATCTCCTCTAGTGACATACAGACAAGTGGGGTCCCATCTGCTCCCTGGTAGACTGGTCTCCCACTCTCATCTCTCCAGCCACCAACATCAGTGTTATTGCAGCAGTTCACACTGTCAGTCACACACTTCAGAGCATAGCCTCCATCACCAATGTCAGGATAGTAGATGTAGGAATTGTTGGACAGATTATCTCCGTCGTGTTCAAATTGAGGCAGTGACTGGCAGTTCCCTAAACTCACTAAACTCAGTAAGAGTATAAACAACACAACAATCATTGCAGTCCTGGTTTAAGAAAAGATCGTTTTTTTTTAGCTACAACGTAATATTAAAATCTGCATTAGTGCTCTACATCCACTCGCAAAGGAGATTTTATATGCAATTTGAGTTTACTTATGTGCAGTAATATACACTGTGATGTGGCTGAAATAGCTACATTTCCGTATATACGTAGATTAGTGCATGTAAAATTATAAATTATATCTTTTTACTATAATTATACAGTACATTTTGCAAAAAGTGTTGTTAGTGTACCCTGAAATTAATATTTTGAAAATTAGCTACTACTCACTGAATATTCAAGGAACATAACGTGGGAATTCTGGTGCAAAGGAACATAAAACGAAAAATGTATAAACACAGATATGCTGCTACATAATTATGAATTATACAATACTACGGTTTTGCACATGATATATTATAATATCCACCAAATAGTGCATTAGCTACATAAGAGTCTTGAAGTTGTGGTACGCTTCCGTCCTCTCCACAAAGTCAGCCAGTACTTCATAACAGAAGACATAGTGATTCTTCATGTGAAAAGAAGAAAAATAGTCACACTTAAACCAGAGCAGAGACCTACAGTGTTGGGTATGACTCCAGGTCTGTGTATGCGAGCAGACTTGATGGCCTGGAAGACATCCACCACACCTTCTGTCTTCAGACGTTCCAACTGAGAGTGGATGACCAGGAATGTCCCACTCCGAACTACTCCATCACTGAGTGGGAGGGAGGACACAATCTTATGCACACATAAAGTGTAACTGTTCACAAGCATACCCGCACATGACCACAGTCTGTTTGGAGGAGGTGGACATCAGAACATGATTGAGCTTATCAATGAGTGAGATAATGGCAGTAGGGTGGGGGAGCCCCTCTAATGGCCAGCTCGTTAGCTGTACCATCTTGACACGGAGTATGTCAGGAGATATTGATTTGTTCTCCTTGACTTCCATCCTCCTCTCCACGATGTCGCCGTGACCTCTGACCTTGACTAGTCTGACAGAGAGTCTCCCACACACCATCTCCTCTCCCTCCTCACCTGGCCAGTAGGGGTAGCTGCTCTCCTGCAGTCCATGACACACACACCAGTACACACCCTCTGTATGTCTGGTCTACAGACCTGGCCGTCTTCCTCCAGCTGACACAGCATCACGATACAGCCACACTGGTACTCCCACATCATCCTCCAGAAGTCCTCCACTGTTCCCTCCAGTGGACCCTGAGTTGCTATGTAGGCATCTCTCTGCTTGTAGCCCTGAACAGTTGTGCAAGAATGATATTAGCTACCTACCCCATAAAACCCATGACACTACCTACATTGATGAAGGATGCATTGATGTATTCAGAGCCAGAGTTGCCTGTCAGTGATACTCTGTATACTTCACCTATCAAAGGCAGAAAAGAGCTTATACCAGCAGTCAGTGTTGATCATAATGCTATCATAATGCTTGAACTAAGCAATTGTGGCAGTTTTTGTTAATGTAACCACCCTAAGATGGTCGATGTCTCAACAAACACGGCATACTTGGCAGTTTATCTGAGAATCTGTTTTTGCTGATGTTTGCCTCAGCCTTGGCTCCCGTGAAGTCACACCTTTGCTGCGTACTTAGATCTTCCAGCACCTATGTAAGAATTTCCAAAATAAACCTCATGGTTGTCAAACATGGTTGCAGAATAAACCTTCAGGTGTTGTTGTGAGAGAGTGGGCCCAGAGTCAGTGACTGGGTCCCTGAGAGACTCAGTGAAGGACCTGAGACGGAGGCAGTCACCTCTGTCTCTCCACACACCACCAGCTCACTCAGAGCTTGGTGAATGAACTCATACTGAATCTTGAAAGGGAGTTAGACACAGTCACACGATAAACAAGTATCATTAAAAGTCATTACCGGAGTCTGCACCATCTTCATACGTTGTGTTCTCAGATTTCTGACACACTGGCAGACACTGAGGGTGGCCTCAGCCTTCATCTGCTGCATCATCATATCCAGAGTGATGAAAGTCCCGGTGCGGCCCACACCTGCACTGCAGTGTACCAGCAGTGGCTGGTCTTGGGAGGCAGCAGGGAACAGTTTACGGACATGACGAATGAACCGTATGACAGACATGACATTGTCTGGAACTCCGTGATCTGGCCAGGCTGTGTAGTGGAACTGAGTCACTGTCACTTGCTTGTCAGACTCTGTCAGCTGCAGGGAGTTGGTAAATTTAACAATTTGATACACTGAACCACATACATGTTTGACTAGAAGTTTGCGGACGTGGTACTCGGCATAAGGTGTGGATGAAGAGAGAGTGACACTGAGTCTGTCTCCAGGAGTGATGGTCTCACTCAGTGACCCAGGCCAGTACTGGGCACTCTTCTCCTGTGGAGCAATTGGTGACCTACACACAGACATCAGGTAAGACTGTTGACTTACTCTTGTCATCTCCACACATTTGGTCAACATGACAATGGCCTCAATCTCGTACTCCCACACCATCCTCCAGAAATGATCAATTGTCTCATCCAGTGGAGCTGTATAACAAATTATGTATCACGTTCTAAGGATTGCAAACGATCTTACCTTGTGCTGCTATGTATTTACTCCCACCGTAGTATCCCTGATAGAAAAAGACTATGAGAATAAGTTGTGGTTCCTTCTTGTACTTACAGAAATAAAAGAAGCGTTTATATAGTCGGACCCCAACTCTCCTGGTATACTTTTTAATGTCACTCTTGACGTATCATCTTGATAAATTTTAGTTCATGAAAAGAAGTTGAAGTGTTATGAGCACTTTTAATTCTTACATGGATATATGTTTCTGAATCTGTTCAAGTCAATGTTATCATAAAGACAGGCCACTTCAAAAGTTAGAGTGGGAACATCATTGAATTGCTGCAAAAACACTTTATATCAAAGGTGCATACATCCCTTGTGTATACTACCCACCTGATATTCAATAGCAAACTTGGAGGTGTCGTGCTGGTTTTCCACTGTCATATCAATGACATAGTCTGGAAACTCACTGACTGGAATATCACTCCTCACTGGAACTGTATGAGTGGAAAAAACAAGGGCTAGCTAGCTGTGTTGTTTGCTGTTTCAACCTTGTTGATCTTGACCAGCATAAATATACCAACTCTTTCTTACCAACTCACTATCTTCAGCAAGCAGAGAGTCCTTTTCAGTAGACAACACATTGCTGGTAATGTTATCCTCTCTCCTTCCAACCTCCTTCAGCTCTAGTCTCTCCAGTAATGAAGATCTCATGTAGGATATTGACTCAAGCTTACTCCTTGGCACATTACTTTCTCTCATCTTCATTCTGTAGTTACTAACATGATTATCATTCACCACACTGTACTGCACTTTACCTCACAAGAGAGAAAACACAGCCAGCAATTGATATAAGTGTGATTATAGCTGCTGCAGAAGCTATTCCAGCAATAATACCATCAGCATTTACTTCTGTGTTATTAATCCATTGACAATCAAAATGTAATATCAAAAAACATGCATCAATTTTCTAAAAACTTGCCACATTTGCAGTAGCGCTAGAAGCAGGGAATCTGCACAATGGTCAATGTGCGGACATAATTTGTGAAAATCTAAGAAACTGAGAATGTAACTTCCTACAGTTTCGGGAATATACGTACCCAAGTTGTGCCTGAGCATTTGCCAGATGTAAATAAATTCCACAACACATTTCACATGTACCTGGGAACATGTTAGTCATCTTACCTGTAACTGAAGCTGTTGTGGTGTGGGTAGTGGGAATAGCAGACACAGTTGTAGTGAAACTAGACAGAGAGTGGTACGTTGAAGAAGAAGCAGTTGCCCCATTATCGAAAATTTTATTAGTGTTACTGCTCGTGTTGGTAGTGGATGAAATTGCGGGCACTAGGGTATTGTATTCACCACTTCCAGGGACTAAGAAAAAATATTTACGTACAATGAAAAATTTAGTATGAATATGCTGGTAAATATCTCACCACCATTACTTTTATAAATGGTAGAACTGGTGAAACTACTGGTAACAACAGTGGTGGACATGTGACTCTGATTACTAGGGCTAGGAGCAATTTCTGAAAGAGAATAAATATGTAAACTAATACATCTTGCAGCACCCCAAACCTTTAAAATAAACAGTAGTGTCACTGAAGTTGGAGTAACTGGATACTGTAGCAGTGCAGCGGTAGACAATTATAGGTTGACAGTGTCATTCTCAGAGGTGGTCAGAACACTCTGATAGCCTATCTCTGGAGATCCAGTTGTGGTGTAAAGAGTGGGCATCAGTTCAGATGATGACCAGACTGAGAAAAGAAGTCTATCCTGGTCCATTCTATGTCCACAGGAATACTCTGTCCATCAACCTCAGCTCTGGCAGTACAGTTGACTGAGAACTGAGTGTTTGGTGAGGTAGTGAGTGATTCAGGTGAGGTCTCTACGTATATCAGTAGTGGATCTAATGAGAGAGTGACATAAGGACATGATGGCTGGAAGGAGAGGTAAGTGACTCACTAGCAATGACAGTGATAGGTCCAACCAGAGGACTGGGTAGGTGAGGTGACAGAGCCACTATGGAGATGTTGTAGGTGACTCCTCTCTGAAGACCATCCAGTGAGTGTGTGTCTGTCTCTCCTCCAGACACCCTGTCACTGATGACTGGTCCTCCCTTAGGCTGGTAGTAGATGACATAGCCAGTGACAGGATCACCTGGTGACTCCCAAGACACAGTGATATTGACATGTGTACTGTTGGACTCTGAGATGACTGCAGTAAGACCGTGGGCTCTCCTGCAACTGTGTGAGCAAACACAGGGAGCTGAATTAAAAGTAATTCTTCAACACACTACCTGATATATTTAGAGTTCCATTCACTTCAGTAATATTATATACACCATCATCTTCATCTAGATAATCTCTAATATTGTTGCTGATGGTACAGTTGTAGGTCCCATTTCTTCTTCCTCTCACTCTCAATCTGTTGTCATAGACAGAGTTGAGAGATGTGTCCAGTATGAGCTGACTGGTCTCATGATATCTGTCTTCCTGTACTGGGACTCCATTTACTGTCCACTGGACAGTTGTGGCAGGTCCTCCATGAGTACGGCAGGAGATAGTGAATTCAGGAACACTTGCTCTGAGCTCAGTGTGTAGAGTGAAGTTCATAGATACTGAGCTGTTCAGTTGTCCTGTATTCCAGGGCAGTGAGCAGAGAGAGTAAAACTGACCATTATGTTCTACTATTGCGTGTCCTTACCAGGTGGGTTAGAATACCTTTCATACTGACCAATGTAGGCATAAAGGCTCTGCATCTCTCCACTGGAATCAGGTATATCACATCTCCACAGTCCTGATGTGTGGTCAGTACAACTCTCTTGCGGTGTAGACTGATCACTCCATCTCCTCTAGTGACATACAGACAAGTGGTCCCATCTGCTCCCTGGTAGACTGGTCTCCCACTCTCATCTCTCCAGCCACCAACAGTAGAGTTATTGCAGCAGTTATCACTGTCAGTCACACACTTTAGAGCAAGGTCTCCATCACCAATATCAGGATAGTAGATGTAGGAATTGTTGGACAGATCAAATCCCTCATGTTCAAATAGAGGCAGTGGCTGACAGTTGTCTAAGACTGTGAGAGGCACACAGATCACCCACAGAACCCTCAACATTGCTATAGAAACTTTGCCGAATGGATCACAGTGTGTTAAGTATAACACAGAGCACTATAATAACATTCCAGCTCACAGAACGGAAGTCAGTGCATCGTTTGTCATACTTCTTGTTTGTAGAGCCAAGGATGCACTTATGACCACATATAAGCACTTGCACAGACACCCCTCTTCACTAGATTACCTCAGATTTGTAGTTTCTAACATTGAGATTTCAATTTTCCCACTGGACAAGCTGAAAAAATGTGTGAACAGAAGGAAAGCAATACCATGCAAATACCTATACTATAGTTGAGACACAGATGGCAAGGCTACAGATATAACTGAGGAGCTACTTCTTTCACTTCTGAACTCACAGTTGATGTCAAAATGATGCTATAGTGTAGCTTTCTTGTTCATGCGTGTTTTTGAAGATGTAGAGTCTTGTCAGTGTAGTCCCCCTAGATAAACAGCCTTACTTTGCTAGAGTTTGTTTGCGTTTATTTTACAGAGAGTGAAGAGCAGCAATGCTGTGGCCACCAGGTCGGTAGAAATGAAGATGGAAAGATGGATTGAAAGGATGGGATGTGGGATGCATGAATGACGGCACAGGATTGGCCAATTGTAGGTGATTTTAATTTTCCAAACATAGACTGGTCTGTTTTAATGGGAACCTCTAATCCATCTATTTGGTTTTGTAACTTTGTTTTCGATTGCAATCTATCTCAGCAAGTTTTGAGCCCACTCTGTTAAAGGAAATCCGCTAGATCGATCTCGTTCTTACATCTACAAGTGTTGTTGTAAATGATTTAATAGTACACCCCTATCTGTTTTTGACTGCTCTGATCACTATATATGCTGTAAGCTTTGATGTCAGTTGTAACGTTTCATCTGCAGCCAAATCTTCACCTGGTTATGTTTTTTATTTTTGTAAAGCCGGCTATGAAAACATTTCTTCTTACTTGCTAGAGTCTGATTTTCAGTATTGTGTTCGACAGCTCCAACATTGAATTTATTTGGTTTTGTATCAAGTTTTACTTATTATATAAAGCCATGTTGTTATACATTCCAACTAAACTAGTTAAGCAGTGCCAAGGACCAAAGTGGTTTGATTCTGATATACGGCATCACCTAAAATGCCTTCGAACGTTGCGTCATAGTGGAATTTTCCCACTGGTGCCTTCGGGTGTACCCTCCCCACTCGAAGTGGTCGTGGACTGGGCAATCACTGCTACAGGTATATTGGAAGGGAGGTTGGCAAAACTGAAGGGAAACTGGGTCCCCTGGGCCAACAAGGCCGGGATGATGAGTGGGACAGTCCCTCCGCTGTGGTGTGGCCAATAAAGTAACTCAAACGTTGCTATTTGAAGAGAAAGTTCAAAACGCAATCCACTCCGCAAAGGGGAAGTAAAATTCAATGTATGGAAAATCTTCTTCAACTCAAACTCATGCAAGCTAAGTCTGATTATGAAACTGAGTTGATTGAGTCCCACCAGTTTTCCAATTCTTCTGCTATTTACTCTTACATTCGTTCATTTTCAAGTCAATGTTTTACCTTCCTCTCTCTATCTAGACGACACCGTTTTAGATCTCTGTAAAGCATCCTTGTTTAACCAATACTTTTATTCAGTATTCACCAGAAGTACCTTTCAGTTGCCATCATTCAGTGAATTGAAAATACCCACATCTTCTCTCAGCGATATAAACTTTAGTGAATTGGACGTGTTCCGTGTCCTCAGATCCCTTGATGTCTCAAAGGCCAAGGGATGTGATGGTATTAGTCCAAAGCTACTAAAACATTGTGCTCTTGCTCTCTACCAACCTTTCCACCATCTGTTTTCCCTGAGTATATATCAGAGTTATCTCCTTATCGAATGGCGCACTCATTTAATAAAACCAATTTTCAAATCTGGTGATAAGAATTCTGTTAGGAACTATAGACCGATCTCTCTGCTGTCCGTTGTTTCAAAGGCTCTAGAGAAACTTGTCTACAACAGTACTGTGGATTTCATAACAAACTCTATCTCTGTCTATCAGTTTGGATTCTTACGCTGGCGTTCTACTCTGCAACAGTTACTGATTTCTTTAACACTATACTCAGCTCTTCCTCTCAAAAAGATGTTATTTGGATTTTAGAAAAGGCTTCGATGCTGTGGCTGATAATGAGCTTCTATATATATAAGCTCTGGAACTTTGCCATCACCGGCGCTCTCTGGTTATGGGTGAGAGCTTACCTGACCAATAGAGTCCAGTATGTGTCTATTGGTAAATCTTGCTCAACAACCTTACCTGTTCTCTCTGGGGTGCCGCGAGGCAGTGTTCTCAGTCGACTCTTGTTTCTCATTTTTGTGAATGATTTGCCCACCACTCTGTCGTTTTCCGAAGTTTTACTTTTTGCCGATGATGCCAAGTGTATCATGCCTATTTCCTCTCTGCAGATTGTACCCATCTCCAAAGTGACCTATCCAGAGTCTCAGAGTGGTGCAATACATGGAACCTGTTTTTGAATGAGAAAAATGCCTCGTTTGTCTACTACACTTAACTATCACTCGAATGGTCAACAAATACCTTCTAAAAGGACCTGGGTCTAATTATTTCGGCATATTTTAACTGGCGACCTCACTATCAATCCATTACCTCCAGAGCATACAAAGTATTAGGACTACTTTTCTCTGGCTCTGTCTCTGTGTCGGCTAAGTGCTCCTTGTATACTTCTCTGGTCCGCTCCCAGTTGCTTTACTGCTCCCCTGTATGGCATCCATATCTCTTGAGGGATATCAGGTGTCTTGAACTAGTCCAGCAAAGGGCAACAAAGTTTATTACCAATAATCCAGTTATGGACTATAGATCATACATCTAAAAATGCTGCCTCTAAGATGGAATATGAGATTGCCGACATTATGTTCTTAGTGAAGTCCTCCATCTGACCACTTCAGGTTCTGTGATTATGTTCAATTTTGTAGTCACCCAACTAGAGCTAGGGTCCTCCAATTTGAAACTAAAGCATTCTCTATATGTAGGACCGAAATAGAAAGGAGCTTTTACCTCAACCGTATTCCTCGACTCTGGAACTCATTACCCACACTTGATATCAACCTCCCTCTTTCGGTGATAAAATCTGGAATCATTAATTTGTGTCAAATTTTGATTCTAACAATGTGTGTACTTATTGTGTGTATGTATTCATGTCCTTGTCTAAAGTGTTCTAAGCTCCCGGTAAACATGCATTTTGGTCTTCATGTAATTTAATGCTGTTTGTGTCTTACATTTTAGTCTGGCTGCTGGCTCTATGCCAGTTGTCCTTCAACACAGTTATTATATTTATCACTCTCACATTTCTGATGTACTCTCTTCATTGTAATCTGTGTTGTAAAGCAGAATAAGAAAAAAATAATAATAATACTACTGCATCATGTTCACTAGGTCATCCCTGTCTTGTTTCGTTGCTGTTTATCACATCGCTATATTCCACACTTTAAGGATTTTTTACTATTGTTTTGCACGTCATGACATTGACATAATATCTACCAAATCAATGTCAAGTGTGTTCATTAGCTACGTAGCTACATAAGAGTCTTAAAATTGTGGTACGCTTCCATCCTCTCCACAAAGTCAGCCAGTACTTCATAACAGAAGACATAGTGATCCTTCATGTGAAAAGAAGAGAAATAGTCACACTGAAACCAGAGCAGAGACCTACAGTGTTGGGTATGACTCCAGGTCTGTGTATGCGAGCAGACTTGATGGCCTGGAAGACATCCACCACACCTTCTGTCTTCAGACGTTCCAACTGAGAGTGGATGACCAGGAATGTCCCACTCCGAACTACCCCATCACTGAGTGGGAGGGGAAATTAACTTATAAGGTGAAGCAGGTGTTGTTTGTAAATACCATTCTACCTGCACATGATCACAGTCTGTTTGGAACGCAAACTCATTAGGGTGTTGGTGAGCTTCTTGATGAGCGAGATGATTGCTGTGGGATGAGGTAACCCCTCCAATGGCCAACTCATTAGCTGTATCATCTTGACAACGAGTATATTGGTTGAAACAGACTTATGCTCCTTGACTTCCATCCTCCTCTCCAATATGTCACCGTGACCTCTGACCTTGACTAGTCTGACAGAGAGTCTCCCACACACCATCTCCTCTCCCTCCTCACCTGGCCAGTAGGGGTAGCTGCTCTCCTGCAGTCCATGACACACACACCAGTACACACCCTCTGTATGTCTGGTCTACAGACCTGGCCATCTTCCTCCAGCTGACACAGCATCACGATACAGCCACACTGGTACTCCCACATCATCCTCCAGAAGTCCTCCACTGTTCCCTCCAGTGGACCCTGAGTTGCTATGTAGGCATCTCTCTGCTTGTATCCCTGAATCAGTTTATGTATGTACTGGTTAACTGTATGTGAAAACATGTATGATACCTACATTGATAAAGGATGCATTGATGTACTCAGAGCCAGAACTACTCATCAGTGGCACACGATAAATATCATCTGTTGAGAGATGGAAAAATCTGCATTAATACCATGCAGTCAGTGTTGATCATATGTTATCATAATGCATTGACTAACTGGTTGCATGCAATACGATATTTATGTAACCCCCTACATTGTGTTCACTATGGGACGTTGTCATACTTGGCAGTTTATTTGGGAATCTGTTTTTGTTGATGTTTTCCTTAGCCTTGGCTCCCGTGAAGTCACACCTTTGCTGTGCACTCAGATCATCCAGAACCTAGTCACAGAGTAAATACCTAGGAGATATGGGTGTAGGATATAAACCTTCAGGTGTTGTAGTGAGAGAGTGGGTCCAGAGTCAGTGACTGGGTCCCTGAGAGACTCAGTGAAGGACCTGAGACTGGAGGCAGTCACCTCTGTCTCTCCACACACCACCAGCTCACTCAGAGCTTGGTGAATGAACTCATACTGAATCTTGAAAGGGAGTTAGACACAATCACACGATAAACAAGTATCATTAAAAGTCGTTACCGGAGTCTGCACCATCTTCATACGTTGTGTTCTCAGATTTCTGACACACTGGCAGACACTGAGGGTGGCCTCAGCCTTCATCTGCTGCATCATCATATCCAGAGTGATGAAAGTCCCGGTGCGGCCCACACCTGCACTGCAGTGTACCAGCAGTGGCTGGTCTTGGGAGGCAGCAGGGAACAGTTTACGGACATGACGAATGAACCGTATGACAGACATGACATTGTCTGGAACTCCGTGATCTGGCCAGGCTGTGTAGTGGAACTGAGTCACTGTCACTGACTTGTCAGACTCTGTCAGCTGTAGGGAGTTGGTAGATTTAACAATTTGATACACTGAACCACATACATGTTTGACTAGAAGTTTGCGGACGTGGTACTCGGCATAAGGTGTGGATGAAGAGAGAGTGACACTGAGTCTGTCTCCAGGAGTGATGGTCTCACTCAGTGACTCAGGCCAGTACTGGGCACTCTTCTCCTGTGGAACAGTTTATGACCTACTGACACACAGGCAATAGACTGTGACTCACTCTTGTCATCTCCACACATTTGGTCAACATGACAATGGCTTCAATCTCGTACTCCCACACCATCCTCCAGAAATGATCAATTGTCTCATTCAGTGGAGCTGTATAACAAATTAGGTAGTAATCACAGTGTTAGGGTTTGAAACGATCTTACCTTGTGCTGCAATGTATTTATTCCCACCGTATCCCTGGTAGAAAAAGACTATAAAATTAAGTTGTGGTTCTTGCTTGTACTCACAGAAATAAAAGAAGCGTTTATATAGTCGGACCCCAACTCTCCTGGTATACTTTTTAATGTCACTCTTGACGTATCATCTTGATAAATTTTTAGTTCATGAAAAGAAGTTGAAGTGTTATGAGCACTTTTTATTCTTACATGGATATATGTTTCTGAATCTGTTTAAGTCAATGTTATCATAAAGACAGGCCACTTCAAAAGTTAGAGTGGGAACATCATTGAATTGCTGCAAAAACACTTTATATCAAAGGTGCATACATCCCTTGTGTATACTACCGACCTGATATTCAATAGCTAACTTGGAGGTGTCGTGCTGGTTTTCCACTGTCATATCAATGACATAGTCTGGAAACTCACTGACTGGAATATCACTCCTCACTGGAACTGTATGAGTGGGAGAAAAAACAAGTTTCTCTTTTGGTGTAGCTGTGTTGTTTGCTGTTTCAACCTTGTTGATGTTGACATGCATAATATTATACCAACTCTTTCCTTTACCAACTCACTATCCTCAGCAAGTAGAGAGTCCTTTTCAGTGGACATCACATTGCTGGTAATGTTATCCTCTCTCCTTCCAACCTCCTTCAGCTCTAGTCTCTCCAGTAATGAAGGTCTCTTGTAGGATACTGACTGAAGCTTACTCCTTGGCACATTACTTTCTCTCATCTTCATTCTGTTGCTACTAACATGACTATCATTCACCACACTGTACTGCACTTTACCTCACGAGAGAGAAAACACAGCCAGCAATTGATATAAGTGTGATTATAGCTGCAGTGGAAGCTATTCCAGCAATAACACCACCATTATATTCTGCCTCACTTCTGTGACAGACAATCATACAAAAACATGAAACTTGCCACAATTGCAGTAGCACTAGAAACAAGGCATCTGCACAATAGTTAATGTGCTGAAATGTGAAAAGTTGAAAATGTGATTTTCTACATATTTTGTAGGAAATTTCTTCCTGCACATGTGCAAGTTGTGCTGAACAGTCATGGCATAAATTTTTACACGTGTAAAACACATTGCACATGTACCTGAAACTGTTGTAGTCTCACCAGTCTGGGTAGTGGGACTAGCAGACACAGTTGTAGTGAAACTAGACAGAGACGGGTACGTTAGAGAAGAAGCAGTTGCACTATTAAAGTTGTAACAATTTGTGTTGGCAACGGATGAAGTTGTGGACATTAGGGTACTGTATGTATCATCACTGCTACCACCATCTAAGATGCAAAATTTCATACCATGACAGTTAGTATAAATATGGTGGTAAATATCTCACCACTGATATATTGAGCAACGGTAGAACTGGTGAAACTACTAGTACCAGCAGTGGTGGACACGAGACTCTGGCTAGGAACAATTACTGAAAGTGGGAAAAATTACAACTTATCATCTTATAGCGTCCCACACCTGTAACATAAGTGTAATTGAAGCTGGAGTGACTGGGTACTATAGCAGTGCAGTTGTAGACAATTATATGGTTGACAGTGTTATTCTCAGAGGTGGTCAGAATGCTCTGATAGCCTCTCTCTGGAGATCCAGTTGTGGTGTAAAGAGTTGGCATCAGTTCAGATGGACCAGATGGACCAGATGGAGGAGAGATGTCTATCCGGGTCCATTCTATGTCCAGAGGAATACCCTGTCTATCAACCTCAGCTCTGGCAGTACAGTTGACTGAGAACTGATTGTTTGGTGAAGTAGTGAGTGATTCAGGTGAGGTCTCTACGTATATCAGTAGTGGATCTAATGAGAGAGTGACATAAGGACATGATAGTTGGAAGGAGAGGTAAGTGACTCACTAGCAATGACAGTGATAGGTCCAACCAGAGGACTGGGTAGGTGAGGTGACAGAGCCACTATGGAGATGTAGTAGGTGACTCCTCTCTGAAGACCATCCAGTGAGTGTGTGTCTGTCTCTCCTCCAGACACCCTGTCACTGATGACTGGTCCTCCCTTAGGCTGGTAGTAGATGACATAGCCAGTGACAGGATCACCTGGTGACTCCCAAGACACAGTGATATTGACATGTGTACTGTTGGACTCAGAGATGACTGCAGTAAGATTGGCTGGCTCTCTTGCCACTAAACATAAGTGCTATAAAATAATGCTTCATACAATGAAATATATATACCTGCAATTCTCTTTGAGCCATGACTTCAGTAATGGATGCCTCAGGTATATAGTCTCTAATATTGTTGCTGATGGTACAGTTGTAGGTCCCATTTCTTCTTCCTCTCACTCTCAATCTGTTGTCATAGACAGAGTTGAGAGATGTGTCCAGTATGAGCTGACTGGTCTCATGATATCTGTCTTCCTGTACTGGGTCTCCATTTACTGTCCACTGGACAGTTGTGGCAGGTCCTCCATGAGTATGGCAGGAGATAGTGAATTCAGGAACACTTGCTCTGAGCTCAGTGTGTAGAGTGAAGTTCATAGACACTGACTTGTTCAGTTGTCCTGTATTCCAGGGCAGTGAGCAGAGAGAGTAAATTGACCATTATAATTATTCTACTATTGTGTGTCCTTACCAGGTGGGTTAGAATACCTTTCATACTGACCAATGTAGGCATAAAGGCTCTGCATCTCTCCACTGGAATCAGGTATATCACATCTCCACAGTCCTGATGTGTGGTCAGTACAACCTCTCTTGCGGTGTAGACTGATCACTCCATCTCCTCTAGTGACATACAGACAAGTGGTTCCATCTGCTCCCTCGTAAAACTGTTCTCCTACTCTCATCTCTCCAGCCACCAACAGTAGAGTTATTGCAGCAGCTGACGTTGTCAGTTACACACTTCAGAGCATAGCCTCCATCATCAATATCTGGATAGTAGATGTAGGAATTGTTGGACAGATTATGTCCCTCATGTTCAAATAGAGGCAGTGCGTGGCAGGTGACTAAGACTGTGAGAGATATCACATAAATCACCCACAGAACTCTGAACATGGTTATAGTTAGCTTCTGAATTTAGATTTGCCAAATGGATCACAGTGTGTTAAATATAACACAGAACACTAAAATAACATTCCAGCTCATAGAACGGAAGTCAGTGCATTACTTAACTCTGCATGGACAGTATGCACTTATGACAACATAACCACTTTCACACACACCCTCTTTACCAGATTACCTAACACAACCAACATAAACTCCAATTCCACACGAACAAGCTGAAATCATGTGTGAACAGAAGGAAAGAAGTACATACAAGCAGAGACCTATACTACGGGTGAGGCACAGGATGCAAGGCTACAGATATCACACAACAAAACTGAAGAGCTACTTCTTTGCTTCTGAACTCCACCCTTTTTATGTGCAAGTGTGCTGTTTGTCTCGTGTGTGTATAATATACTTGGGTGGAGGGTGATTTATGGTTTGTCTTTCTTTTCTTTCTTGTTATTATCTACGGCTAGTATGCTATGCACATGGTTTTCATGTAAAAATTTATGCTAAAGTTTAGCTTTCTTGTTTGTGTTGTTATGTAGAATAGAAGAGTTTTAATGCCGATGTTTGCGTTTTTATTTCACAATCATCACACTTGAGAAAGACTGCGAAGTCGAAACGTGTGTTTTTGATAGTGTATCTGTTGAAAACATTTCACCATACTTGACTGCAATAGACAACAAGTTATTATTTCCTTTTTTCTGGTTGTCTAGGAGCAGGCTAGTTGTAGTTAACTTCCTTGTTACCCTCGGCGCGCATGCGCAGCGAGGGTACAGTTGGGTCTGTCTGTTTGTTTGTTTGTCTGTTACTCTATATCTCACTCCTCGAACGTCTGTTCGTCCCAGAAACGATACCATCTACCCAACGGGCGACGAAGGTCAGAAAATAAAGGCGGTTTTCTCTGAAAATGCTCCGTTGCAAAGCTAGAGCACGAAAAAGCCAATATGCAAATACGCAACGGACGGGATTACCGCGGTCTGATCGATCCGCGTGCTCTGCGTATATACCTCGGAGGCACCATAAGATGCAACGCAGGGCGTGTATCGCCTCTCGCATGCTGTCTAGTAGTGTAGTTAGCCCGCGTCAGACTCTGCGCGAACTGGCAAGACCACCTTAAACTAAACCCAGCCCATAACATATTTGCCCTGGGTTTACAGGAGGTGGAAGGAAGGTGAAGGTCAAGAATACAGGAGTGATTTAAAACTATTATGTAACGATCGACCAAAGATGAATATTGAGTCAGAACAACAGATGCAGGCATCAGTGATTTCTTGGGTGGTGACAGTGAGCTCGGAATGGTCAGACAGGAAATGGGAGCAAATGGAATGAGTATCCAACAAGATGCCGCAGTTTGGAATGGGGCATGTGTTGTCTGAGTGAAGGTGGAGAGAGAGAGAAACTTCAACACGGCCTGGATGCAGGTGGTTCCAAAGACCCCTCTCTCTAGGGCCAGATCCCATCGATTCCAAAGTTCCAAAGTTCATGTTATGAGCCCAAGAGGGATACAACGATTATGCATACAGAAAAATATAAATGACGTGAACATGAGAAGATTAGAGAGAATTGGAGAGGGTAGTGGCAATTGTGAGGATGTTTTCGTGAAAACCTCCTTCAATGGTTTCCAGAACTCCCGCGACAGATATGTCACTGTTGCAGTGGTCTTAGTGATACAGCGCATGCGTTTACTTACGCGTGCGCGTCACGATGCGCCGAGGGTTTGCACTTCAGTGCTTTTCATTCTACAAGTTATTTTACACAGAGTAAGGAACAGCAATGCTGCTGTGGCCACCAGGTCAGTAAGAATGAAAATGTGAAGATGGATTGAATGTGGGATGAATGAATGACGACACAGGATTAGCCAATTAATAAACCGATGGTGCAGAGCAGCAACGTTGGCGTATTACGTTACGCGGTAGTTTCACTTGCGTGTACGCAACGATCATGGACGACCGAGACGCCTTGGCTCACAACCTGCTCCTGACTACCGACTCGTACAAGGTTAGCGTTGTGCCTACCAAGCAAGTACTTTCTCTCCTGTAGTGTACTGGATCGGCTTCACGTCTCTCCTCTGCTCCTAGTTGCGTGGGGCTTTGCGTTTGGCGTTCCACCAGCTAGCTACTCACGTAGCTAACGCTGCACGTCCCCCCCAGATAGATCACCGAGTGTAACGTTGCTCATCTTGCTTTCTCTCCAGCTATCCCACCACTTCCAGTACCCTCCCAAGACAGAGGTGGTCTACTCGTACTTTGAATCTCGAGGAGGGAAGTTCCCTGCTGTCTGCTTCTTTGGACTCCAGTACATCATCAAGGTGTAATACATACATAGCTAGCGTTTTCATTCTACATAGCTAGACACCAGGGACTCTGACTAGGGAGATATTTCCTATGTGCATGCAACTAATGAGGGATTTCATATGTGCATACAATTTTTTATCTCGTTTGTGCATGCATCTCTCTGTATGACTGGTGTTAGCATATGCTCTTCTTTCTCTCTCGTCTTGTGCACTCCATCCTCTTGCTCTACACACACACCCCCTCCCTCTTCCCCCTCTCCAGAAATGGCTGGAGGGGGTTGTGGTGACGAAAGAGAAGCTGGAGGTGGCTAAGAGTGTGTGTGATGCCCACCTGGGCCCGGGGATATTCAACTACGATGGCTGGAGCTACATTCTGGAGCAGCATGGAGGGAAGCTACCTCTGAGAATAAGAGCTGTCCCCGAGGGATCTGTCGTCCCCTTCAGAAATGGTATATATGCCAAATCAGCCAGAGGTTAATTGGGGACACTTCACTGATGAGTTTCATGTGAATTACCCACACTGAAGTTTTCCTAGTAACTGATAGTGAAAGATGAATAAACTAAACACTGGATGAGTAAGAATCTCGGCCACACACAATCAGCTAGACCCTGCATGTGCATGGTGCATTACTTTGTGCATGTGGCAAAGTGGTCCATCTTAAAGTGCCTCTTGTGCACCACTCAATGAGGATTGTTAATGACTTTCTCCCATTGCTCCATATGCAGTGCTGTTCACGTGTGAGAATACCGACCCAAAGTGCTACTGGCTCACCAACTATGTCGAAGTAGGTTCCATACTTGTAGCTGTACAATTATTGTCACGAGATTCAGAGATCTGGCTAAACACTCCCTGCCTCTCCCCAGTCACTCATGGTACAGGCCTGGTACCCCATGACAGTCTGCACCAACTCAAGAGCTCAGAAAGAGATTATTGCTCAGGTCAGCTTTTAACAACCCCCACCCCCACTCTATTGTAGATTGAATACAGATTTCCAAGTGTATGCAGGTTCAACTTGACTTGAAAACCCTCAATAAATTGCTCTATGTATACAGTATCTCCATGAGACGGCTGACAGTATCGATGGTCTCCCGTACAAACTCCACGACTTTGGTTTCAGAGGTTCCACTTCAGTAGAGGTCAGTCCATTACTCCATCTTGCTGCTCCTCTGACCAGTGGCTGTGCGTGTGGTGTTTGTGCTTGTGCGTGTGTGTGTAGTCTGCAGGTATTGGTGGAGCAGCTCATCTTGTCAACTTTAAGGGGACAGACACTATCGCTGGGATTATGACTGCCAGGTGAGATATGATGGTGTCATAACCAGGTATATCTTGTAATTAAAGACCCATTGCTGCATGTGTTTTGTAAGTGTGTGTGTTACATGTTGGTGCTGCACAAAGTTCACTTTAACCTAAAAAATACTCTTAGCAGAAATGTCACATACTGTTTGGTTGCTTGGTTGGGGGACACGTTTTGATTCCCAGTGGGGCCAGGAGTTAATCATCACATTGCTTGAGCTATGTGCTAATCCTTACACCAACACTGTTGTACACACCTCTCATTACATCTCCCTCCCCCTCTCCCTCTCCCTCTCCCTCTCCCCCTCCCTCCTCTCAGACTGTACTATGGTGCTGAGATGGCAGGCCACTCTATACCTGCAGCGGAACACAGGTCAGTGATTACATATGTGTAGTCTGATGAAGCACTTTAGTGGAGATTTAAAGCCCCATCTTACTCCAGACTGTGTGATACCTTACACTCAGTAGTTCCCCTGTCTGGGTAAATACATACATGGGAAAGATAGGAAATGCAGTGTGGGAAGGCTAAGTCATATCCTGTGTCATCTTCTTCACAGTACCATCACCAGCTGGACCAGAGACAGGGAGTCCGACGCCTTCAAGAACATGTTGGAAAAGGTATACAACCTTGTTCCCATCCTCTCCCTCTTCTCCACTAGACCAATACTCTCTGCCCCATTGCACTGAGTTCTTTTGTATTGTGTTGTAGAACTGGGACTTTCGGCCCTGGTATAATGTGTATATACTGCCTAGAGAACAGAGTGCCATAGGGAGTTGTCCTGAATGTAGTCTATTTGTTTGCTTTGCCACTGCTATGAACCTTTGCTGTTGGGCATACAATATTTACAGTGGGGAGTTTGGTGGCATGGGCTAAAATATATTCAAAGTGGGTTTTAGACCAAACAATGTCAAGGTCTAATTTCCCATTTGATGACTGTGTACCTACTGCTTTTGAACCACGTAATTCATTAGTACCCTCTGGAATTATTCATTTATTCTCTGGAATGTGTCTCGCAGTTTCCAACTGGAGCCGTTGCCTGTGTCAGTGACAGCTACAACATTTGGTGAGAACACAAATCTAGCATCATGCATACATATCTGAGTCCAAATTTCTATGTGCACTGGCTTATCTCACCTCCTGTTTGTCCAGGGAAGCCTGCAGTAGGATATGGGGTGAGGAGCTGAAGGGACTGGTAGAGGACAGAGGGAAGAGAGGTCAGCCTTAGTAACAGTACACACCTTTATAGTCGGGAGGCTCACGTAGTAGGTACATACTGCACAATGCACAGTGGAGCAAATGTGAGATCAGAAACTGCCATAATACAGGAGGTTAACTCTGAATATTCAAGTTGCTATAAATAAGACGGCCATATGCAATTCACTGACCTGTTTTATGCATGCAGGAGTAGATGTCTGTGTGATAGTCTGTGCAGGCACCAACAAGTGCCTAGCCAAATCCACCTAACATCACATGCAAACAGAAACACTAACCTGCTATATTATTATGGTATGTATGTAGCTGAGTGTGTTCCACTGCAGGTGCAGGACCTCTAGTGGTGAGACCTGACTCGGGAGATCCAGCCACAACTGTTGTCAAGGTTCTAGAGATACTCGGTGTGTTTACATCTCTTTTAGACACTCTTTTTGAACTCCTGTATATACATCATTTCACCCTACTGGTGCACAATGTAAACCCCTGCAAAATTGTGTTTTGAGAGGTTCATTGGCCAACGTTTAATGGTCTCCTAATATAGTTGAGTGCATGTGTATGTTTGCATGCACTAAGATGCCCTGGTGTTAGTGCTGCCTCTTGTGAATTACAGACAGGGTAATTATGGTCACCAGACCTTTAAAATGATTTTTGTACAATTTCAGAAAGCCTGACTCCATTGTACAACTCCCCCTCTCTGATGTTATCGTTTGCTTGGCTCTCCCTGTCAATAGATACAACTTTAGCTGTCAACAATGTATGGGGTATCCTTTCCCTGGACTAGTGGGTGCACTTTGGTGAATGCCCTAATCTTTCCGTACTGTGGAGTATATTATTATGGAGCACTGTTCTCTTTATTCCAGGGTCAAAGTTTGGCACATCCACAAACAGCAAGGGCTACAAACTCTTACCTCCTTATCTCAGAGTCATCCAGGTATGATAGTAAGTGGGCGTACATTATGCTCACTATGATAGTGCAGTACAACTTCTTAGAGCCAACTTGTAGTACAAAAATAGCCCCCTTGCACCTGTTTCTTGTCTCTTCCTACATTTCTGAAGAAAAGTGTTTCTGTGTACGCTGTCCACTGTCTTCCATTCACTGTACAATCATACAATAACACTTCTGGTCACTTTCTCTCTCTGAAAATACAACATTCAATACTGTTGGTACTACCATCGTGTATATAGACGTGTAGATAGAGTTGTGTGGGATTGGGACGAGTGGTATGCTAGAAACTACTCAATTGGAATTCTATACTACATTATCAACAATATACATGTATGTCGATGTACTCCGTGTGAATATGTGTGGGTCTATAATTATATGTGTAGTAGGAATCAGTTACGAGAGCCTCGAGGGAGACACATAGGGAGATGGGATCAGAGGGAGATGTGTGTATGTATGTAGGGAGATGGGATCAGAGGGAGATGTGTGTATGTATGTAGGGAGATGGGATCAGAGGGAGATGTGTGTATGTATGTAGGGAGATGGGATCAGAGGGAGATGTGTGTATGTATGTAGGGAGATGGGATCAGAGGGAGATGTGTGTATGTATGTAGGGAGATGGGATCAGAGGAGATGTGTGTATGTATGTAGGGAGATGGGATCAGAGGGAGATGTGTGTATGTATGTAGGGAGATGGGATCAGAGGGAGATGTGTGTATGTATGTAGGGAGATGGGATCAGAGGGAGATGTGTGTATGTATGTAGGGAGATGGATCAGAGGGAGATGTGTGATGTATGTATGTAGGGAGATGGGATCAGAGGGAGATGTGTGTATGTATGTAGGGAGATGGGATCAGAGGGAGATGTGTGTAGTGGGATGTATGGGTAGAGAGGGAGATGGGATCAGAGGGAGATGTGTGTATGTATGTAGGGAGATGGGATCAGAGGGAGATGTGTGTATGTATGTAGGGAGATGGGATCAGAGGAGATGTGTGTATGTATGTAGGGAGATGGGATCAGAGGGAGATGTGTGTATGTATGTAGGAGATGGATCAGAGGGAGATGTGTGTATGTATGTAGGGAGATGGGATCAGAGGGAGATGTGTGTATGTATGTAGGGAGATGGGATCAGAGGGAGATGTGTGTATGTATGTAGGGAGATGGGATCAGAGGGAGATGTGTGTATGATGTAGGGAGATGGGATCAGAGATGGGGATTCAGCTGCGCCCTTCGTTTGCCCTAGGCTTTCCAGTTAGCTTTATCGTAGGTCCTCACGTCACATTTATTTTCTCCTTGGCCCTTTTTTCCTGACGGGTCTTGGGCCTTGTTTCGCCGCCGGTTCGCGGTGTTTGTTCTGCCGTAGGGGCCCGGGTTCGCGCCGTGGCTTCGGGCTCGGCTTTAATGGGTTTTTCTCTCTTTCCGTGTTCCAGACGTTCGACCAGTGATTCGGAAGCCGTCCATCGTGCATGATCTGGTGCTCCCTGGATGTCAAAGGTACATCCGTGACTGGTGCTAAGTATTGCTTCCCTAGCGTCTTTTTGGCTTTTACTGTCTCCCCCCTTGTCGGTTTGGCCGGAGTTGACCGGCGCGTGTTTGCTTTGTTTTTACGGGTTGTGCATTTTCTCCGATGTTGTCCGCCTTTTGCGGATTGCGGGGTCTGGTTGGTTTTGCTTCTTCTGTTCGTCGTGTCTCTCCGTTTTCGGCATCCAAGGGGGAGATGGGGGTTTTCCTCTCAGCTGCAGCGGGTGTTATGTCCTGTTCTATGCGTTCCTTTACTGTCCTCGAGTGCATACTACGGTCCTTGCGTCCTCTGAGGCTTGAGCGCCCGAGCGATGGCGAGGCTCTTGCTCGTTGGCTTGTTGTTGTGGACTTCTACTGGGGGGTTTGAGCGGCTGTTACTGTGCTTGATGCGGGTGTCGTCGGTTTGGGGGTGGGTTTTTGGTTTCCTCACGCCTTCATTGTTCTCGAGCTGTGCCACTGTGCGGCCTTTTAGGATGGTTTGTCTTTTTTTTGATTGTTCGTGGTATGTATGTAGGGAGATGGGATCAGAGGCGGATGTGTGTATCGTCTGTAGGAGAGGGACAGAGGAGATGTGTGTATGTATGTAGATGGATCAGAGGGGATGTGTTGTATGTATGTAGGGAGATGGATCAGAGGGGATGTGTGCTGGATGTATGTAGGGAGCTGATGGGATCAGACGAGAGTGTGTGTATGTATGTAGGGAGATGGGATCAGAGGGAGATGTGTGTATGTATGTAGGGAGATGGGATCAGAGGGAGATGTGTGTATGTATGTAGGGAGATGGGATCAGAGGGGATGTGTGTATGTATGTAGGGAGATGGGATCAGAGGGAGATGTGTTGTTATGTAGGAGATGGGATCAGAGGGAGATGTGTGTTGTATGTAGGGAGATGGGACAGAGGGGATGTGTGTATGTATGTAGGGCGAGGGATGATCAGAGGGATGTGGTATATGTATGTAGGGAGATGGGATCAGAGGGGATTTGTATGTATGTGGGGATGGGGATCAGAGGGAGATGTGTATATGTATGTAGGGAGATGGGATCAGAGGGAGATGTGTGTATGTATGTAGGGAGAGGGATCAGAGGGAGATGTGTGTATGTATGTTAGGGAGATGGGAGATCAGCGGGTAGAGTGTGTGTATGTAGGTAGGGAGATGGGATCAGAGGAGACTGTGTGTATGCTATGTAGGAGAGGGATCAGAGGGAGATGTGTGCATGTATGTAGGGAGATGGGATCAGAGGGAGATGTGTGTATGTCTGTAGGGAGATGGATCAGAGGAGATGTGTGTATGTATGAGTCGTGAGATGTGATCCGAGATGTGGAGTATGGTATGTAGGGAGATGGGATCAGAGGGGATGTGTGTATGTAGTAGGAGATGGATCAGAGGGAGAGGTGTGTATGTATGTAGGGAGAGGGGACCAGAGGAGATGTGTGTATGTATGTCGGGAGATGGACCAGAGGCGATATGTGTGTATGTATGTAGTGGAGATGGATCAGAGGGGATGTGTGTATGGTATCATGTAGGGGAGCTGATCCAGCGATGTGTGCTATGTCTGTAGGGCGATGGGATCAGAGGGGATGTTGTGTATGGAAGTGTAGGGAGATGGGTCATCCGAGATGTGTCGTCTGTCTGTAGGGAGATGGGATCAGAGGGGATGTGTGTATGTATGTAGGGAGATGGGATCAGAGGGAGATGTGTATGTATGTAGGGAGATGGGATCAGAGGGATGTGTGTATGTAGTGTAGGGAGATGGATCAGGAGGAGATGTGTGTATGTATGTAGGGAGAGGAATCAGAGGGATGTGTGTCTGTATGTAGGGAGATGGGCCCATGAGGGATGAGTGTGTCATGTATGTAGGGATGGGATCAAGGGATGTGTGTCAGCATGTGGGAGAGGGATCAGAGGTGATCTGGTGTATTGTAGTGAGATGGGATCAGAGTGGAGATGTGTGCATAGTAGGTAGGAGATGGGATCAGAGGGGATGTGCATGTATGTATATGTAGGGAGATGGGCTCAGAGGGGATGTGTGTATGTAGTGAGGAGATGGGACAGAGAGGAGATGTGTGTATGTACTGTAGGGAGATGGGATCAAGAGCGATGCTGTGTATGATATGTATGGAGCTGGGAGCAGAGGGATGTGGTGTAATGTCTGTAGAGATGCCCAGGAGGAGAGTGTGCTGTCTGGATGTAGGGCAGCAATGGGATCAGAGGGGATGTGTGGATTGTATGTAGGAGATGTGGATCAGAGGAGATGATGTTGTGTATGTAGGTAGGGAGATGGGGATCAGAGGGAGATGTGTGTATGTCTTTAGTGGAGATGGGATCAGAGGAGATGTGTCTATATGTATGTAGGGAGATGGGACGAGAGGGGAGATGTGTGTATGTGTATGTATGTAGGGAGATGGGATCAGAGGGAGATGTGTGTATGTATGTAGGGAGATGGGATCAGAGGGGATGGGTGTATGTATGTAGGGAGATGGGACAGAGGGGAGTTGTGTATGTATTATGTAGGAGAGGGATCAGAGGGAGATGTGTAGTATGTGTAGGAGATGGGATCAGAGGGGATGTGTGTAGTATGTAGGGAGATGGGATCAGAGGAGATGTGTGTATGTATGTAGGGAGATGGGATCAGAGGGAGATGTGTGTATGGATGTAGAGGGAGATGGGATCAGAGGGAGATGTGTGTATGTATGTAGGGAGATGGGATCAGAGGGAGATGGTGTGTATGTATGTAGGGAGATGGGAGTCAAGGGAGAGATGTGTGTATGTAGTAGGGAGAGGGGATCAGAGGGGATGTGTGTATGTATGTAGGGAGATGGGATCAGTAGGGAGATGTGTGTATGTATGAGGGAGATGGACAGAGAGAGAGTGTGGTATGTATGTAGGGAGATGGAATCAGCAGGGTCAGATGTGTGTATGTATCGTAGGGAGATGGGACAGAGGAGACATGTGGTGTATGTATGTAAGTGCGGAGAGTGTACGAGGGGATGTGGGTCATGTACGTAGGGAGATCGGGATCAGCGGGGACATCCGTGTGCCATGTATTGGAGGGAGAGGATCAGAGGGGATTGTGGATGTAGATGTAGGGAGATGGGATCAGAGGGGATGTGTGTATGTATGTAGGGATGATGGATCAGAGGAGATGTGTATATGTATGTAGGAGTATGGGCATCAGAGCTGTGTGTGTACTGTATGTGGAGATGGGATCAGAGGGAGAGTGGAGATGGGGTGATGATGGCAGGGAGAATTGAGGGGAGAAGCTT